ACAAAATGATGTTCCCACCCGATGGAATTCATCTCTGGAGATGATTCGTAGTCTTCTGCATCTTAAGAAAGAAGTGAAAAATGTGCTCAAGCAAATTGGGCACTATGATCTTAACCACCTAAAAAGTGACCAATGGGAGATTCTTCAAGTTCTTGAGCAGTTTTCAAACTCTGACAGATTCTCAATGCTCAGGTTACTTCCTTGTCCCTCATACACTATTCAATACATTGAAGGCATGCTTAATTTGGTGTTGAGAAACAATTATTTTCAACTTAATGAGACCTACTATCAACAGTTATCTGGTGTTGCTCTGGGTAATCATGTAGCTGTTACATTTTCAGTTATATGAGTGATGGTCCACTTTGACAAAATCATATGTTTTGAGAAATGTGACAAAACTATCATTTATGTGACAAGATGTGATAAAATTAAATTACATAGAAATTGTGACAAAATGTGACAATAATAGTATCTATTTGATATGATGTGGTAATAAATGGTAAAGAATGATTTTTAAAATATTATGATTACTAGCAAACACAAGTTAGCTTCGGAATCTTATGTTGTTAGGTCTTACCACAGAAAGCAGATCAACTTGCAATCACACACTTTAGTGCATTCAGCACTAAGCTTAAGTTTTTATAAATGTCATTTTTTAAACTTTTCTCAAATAATTTTTCTATTTTATGATTTTGTACATAAATAATTTTATGCAAGAGATCTTACAAAGCTACAAGTGCTAATACTCATTATTTCAAAGTTGGTTACCAATGGGAAAAAAGCAAAATGCTTTTGTGGGTGGTCTGAGACCACTACCATATTAAGAATAGTCATAGGTCACCCCCCAAACTCATCTTGATTATCTGTAAAAATTTCACCCTAAAACCTATTTGCTGGTATGTCAGTGAAGTGAAGCTTTCAGTGGTGTTTGGCTTATGGTAAGTCTTCCTGTTACTTAAGAAGGCAAAAGGTCCATATACAGATAGATGTACACTTCATTAATTGAACCCATTCTCCCATGTCTAGTTAACTTACTATGTTAGCACATCACCATTTATACTAGGCCATAAGTTAAACCAATTACATGTAATAGTGTAGCACCATACCATATTTGCATACGAGTTGTGCATGCCTTTATGCTCTTTTATCAATATCTGTATGAGATATCTACATCTTAAACTAGAATGTCTTTTGTTAGATCCAGTACTGAGTGAATATGTCTAATCAACCAAAATGGCAAGTTTTAAGGAGTCTATACTGATTGGCCATGATTAAAATAACAAAGAAATAAGGTTTTGGTGAATCAGATCCCCAACAGATGTACTTGCTCGCTATTGTCCAATTTGTGAGACAGACAGATGTGAAATCACGAATTACTGCTGCTATAGAATGTAAGCTTAATAAAGCAAGCAAGATTCTTTCTGGTGGACTTGGGCCTCATTTTTGAAATCTTATCAAAAAATGAGATATGCAATTCAGCTCTAGCATATACTTTGGAAACTACAACTGCCAAACACGTGTGTCATGAAGAACAAAGTTTTTCCAGTGGAAATGCAATTTTTATCTTCAATCATGCTCATTTTTACAAAGCTGACAAGGCTTTTTCAATGTGAAGCTCCTCTTATTCATATTTTGTATGATGAATTGTCAATGTTGGTCATCACACTAATTCATCGTTTTGTGAAGCATGATGTTGTAGAAGACAAACAAGGAGCTCAGCTACAGTGCCTTGCAAAAGTATTCACCCTCCTACAAAGTTTCCAGATTTTGTTGCTGTCTGAGCTGGTAATCATGAAACTTTCAAATGGGACTTTATATTTAGAATCTGCACAATCAACTCTAAACTGAGAAATCTAAAAAAAATGCTGATATTATGTAAGTTGGATTTTCAAAGACAATTAAAATATTCTCAATTGCACAAGTATTCAACCTCTTTGATACGGCAACCCTAAATCGGTTAAGAAGCGAAAGATTAGTTTGAAAGGTCACAAAATTAGTGTGATAGTCTCTGTCTGTGTGTAATCAAAATGGTATAACATGACATCAGAGTAAATACATCTGTTCAAGCCACGACTCACATAGTGATACAACAAACCAACCATGAAGACAAAGGAGCTTTTCAAACAAGTCAGAGATAAAATGGCAGAGAAACACAGATCAGGAGAAGGTTACAAGAAAATTTTAAAATCAGTGATTACTCCTTTGCACATGGTGAAGTTCATCATTAAGAAGTGGAATGTGCTTCCTACCACCCAGTCACTAGTCAGATCAGGCCATCTTTTCAAACTAAGCAACCAGGCAAACAGAAAACTGATTAGAGATGCCACTATGAAGCCATTAGTGACTATGAAAGTCTTTCAAAGTTCCATGTCTGAGATGGAAGTTAGTGTTCATACAACAACAATATCCCGGTCCCTACACAAAGCTGACTTGAATGGGCGAGTGGCAAGAAAGAAGCCATTACTGAAAAAGAATCATCTTAAATACTGTATTTCGACAAAGAATGTAAATGATGCTGCAGACATGTGGAAGAAGGTTTTGTAGTCAGACAAGACAAGAATAGAGCTTTTGGTCTATATTCAAAGTGTTACATCTGGTGCAAGCGCATCATAGCACATCACCCAGTCAACATCATCCCAACTCTCAAAGCATGGTGGTGGGAGCATCATGTTATGAGGATACTTCTCATCAGCAGGTACTGGGAACAAGGGAATGAGCAAACATTTTTCCGGGGGGAGGGCAAAGTAGTGTGAAATTGTGAACTGAATAAAAAATTCATATATGTATGCTAAATGAATAAAGAAAGAATTATATTTCTCATCTTCCAGGTGGGGGAAAGTTCATTAACAAATTGTTTACATTATCTGTATTTCTTAAAAATGTGACAACATTGGTAGGGGGTGAATACTTTTACAAGGCACTGTATACAAGATTGATTTTTCTTCAACTAAAAACCCTCTGAAAGTTCCAGACACTGGACATGAAGCCAGTAAGACACTGAAAGCACTTCTCTCACACTACAAAATCATACAGCATGAATATTCTTTTTTCTTGAGAGATAAGACATTTTTCAAGAATACTGTGTCAGCTTTATTGAAAACACTGCCTCTGAGAAACACCATCTTGAGAGACCTACAGGCTTTTTATCCTATATCAAGAGAAGGAGATTAGTCAGTTAATACCATTCCAAGATTAGCTATTGTCATTAAATTGTTTCTTCGAGACAAGTTTGACTGTGTGGTTGATGAGTGGAAAGTATTCAGAGTCAAGCAGTTACAAAATGGAACCTCCTACCTTCTCACGATAAAAATGAAGAAAATGAATCCGATGATAACAATAAAGATCCAGACTGGGGTGTCAAGCATGCGGATTCTTTTTGGGCTCATATAATTTCTATCAAATTGTTGAATGGTTTGCCAAAGTATCAGAGTCTGACCATCTTGATGAAGATTTGTCTCACATGGAAATGCAGATGTTGAGCACTCTTTCAGTGAGAATAAGCTGATCATAACTTCAGGAAGAACTTTGATGTTTGATGAAACTTTAACTGGTTAAAGAGCCACCTCATCATTCATGCGTAAGTACAACAGCAAGCCTGAAAACCTTCCAATAAATGCATCAACCCTGCAAGCTGTTAGAAATGCCAGAGATAATTACCCACAACACCTTGAAACACAAAAACAAGCTGGAAAATATGCAGCCACTGCTGCTGAGGAAGCTTGTCCTATGTCTAATGATGCACAGTCAATGAGGAGAAAGGAACTAGAGGCAGCAAAGCAAAAAACTTGTTGAAGCTGATGCTTTAAGAAAGGAAGGAATGAAGATGCTGAATGCTGCATGCACTGCCAAAAACTTCAATCAAGTTAATGTAGATGGTATTCTGGAATGAAGTTTGGAACTAAAAGCTTCTGCTGAGACATAAAGGAAGAATGCTGAAAAGAAGAAAGCAGCAGCCCGGAAAACTGAATCTCTGAAGAATGGGGAAGAAACAGTTGCAAAAAAGTTGAAGTTCTAATCCATATTATATCTGTTTTGTGAAGTTTAGCAATCAGATTCACTTGGTATTTGCCGTGTCAAATCAAGTATAATCTTGTTAATCTGTTTCAGCCTGTATTATCTATATAAATGTTAGTGTAACCTGAGTAATCATATTCATTCTCTGTTTGTTATATGAAGATAAGTGTAATCTGAGTAATCTTTCAAATTTTCTCATTAAATTTCTTAAAAAAAATCTCAGTTCATACTTGTAATCGTCTAGCTCTCGTCACTAATATATGTTTTATGGAGATAAATGTTTTGGAATTGTGTTTTATAATATAAAAGAAAAGAAAAAATGTTAAATACCGATATAAGTTGTGAAGATATATTCATAAAATGACTCAATTTACCTCCTAGAGCAATTGAATACATGGCATCCAGCTGCACAGCGCTTGATTTGCTCATATTAGTAGTTTTTATCATGAATTCACTACACCCAAAAATTGTGTGTAAAGATTTCAAGATCTATCTGAAGTAAATTTGGGAAAATTTTCATACGAGTTCTGACATTAATGCAGATAATGATAAACTTAGAAACTCAACCTTTTAGTAATGTGACAAAACATTAAAGGGCACGGACCATCCCTGTTATTTACGTGTATATGTTAGAAAGGCAAGCCTTACAAAACTGGTATATGGAACTGCAGAAGAAGCCAGTTGTATGGGTCAGATATACTTATCACATACTTGGATTTTGGCATGACTCATTACGCAGTTTACTACTTTTCTATCATTTCCTCAATAACTTTTATCATACCATAAAATTCACTGTTACATATTCCAAACAATCGAACATCTTGTTCCTTGATGTTCAGATTATCCTAAAAGATGGTAAACTTATAAAAGAAATGTATGAAACTAGTTTTTACATTACCACTCTCATCACCCACTGCATGTTAAATGTGCAACTAATGAATGTAAATCCAAAGTTATGCAAGAACATGTACAAAATTAAACATTACTGGATATCTAAAAACATTTATTGAAAAGAATTTATGAAGCTATGAATACAAAGACCACAATACCAATGTAGAAACATTACCACATAAAAAAGTATTTCAGGCAAATTCTGTTATACCATACATTAGTCATAATATTTCACCTTATATTAGACAGGTGTACAGGTAATAAGGTCTTGACATCAGATTTACAGAGAAACCAGGTAGAACTATGAATAATATGTTAATAAGGTCAGCCTTTAAACCTAAAACATGCAATAAACCCACAGACAAATGTGCAGGTTGTAAATCAGGTTTAAGAGGAAACTGTAACCACAAAAATGTAGTATATAGTTTCATATGCAAACTCTGTTTTTCTGTATATATCAGTGAAACAGGTAGAGCTATTAGGCATAGAATAAATTAACATCATCGAGCTCTTCATACATTAGATGGTAAAATCAGTGCTGTGGGTGAACATTTTGTTGACAAACATGGTATAACTGATACTGATTGTCCCATAACAACTCATTACCCACTGCCACAGCTTTTTAAATAGAAAATGCAAAGAAGCCCTATTAATTTCAGAGAATAAGCCATAGTTAAACAAAAAATTATTATGCAATTTTTAATTATTATTGTTTGTATTTAATTAGTATAATAATAATATATCTTATGTGTGCTTTAAACAGTACAATTTTGTCTGTTCGCATGTATTTTCAACTTCACAATGTACAACAATTATGTTCATATAGTCTCACGTGACTTTTACCTTATTACGTAGATTTGGATTATTATGAAATCTTTTGCATAAACCTAAATAAGTTAGCAAGTGTCTTGTTTGCCCCTGTGAAGCTTAAATAAAAACTCATTATATTTTCTGGACTAATTGATCGTGTTTTATTTATCTTTTAACAATGAATACAACTTTCCAGTTTGCACTACGTAGTTTAAACTCTCAAAATGTAACTCAATCAGAAAGTTGGCTCTATCTTGACATGCTCTACTGCACAGGAAGATGCAAATTTTGTAAAATATTGCTTTAGTTTTCCATGATATGATAATTATAGGATGACGGCTGAAAAATAATATTAGTAGTTATCAAGATAGGTAAAATGCAAAGTCATAAATTATTTTTGTCTGTTTAATATCAACAATATGTTACTTCATAGGCACATCAACAGTTTTGCTCATTTCCTTTGTTTTAAAGAATGGAACAGTTGAAAAAAGAACAGAGAAGGAAATAAGCAGAATTGTTTAGATCAAGTCACTATTGTTTGATTAAAAGCTACTAATATGATAGTAGTCCACAACAGCTCATGGAAACTCATAACACAAAGCTTAACACATTGTATATGAACATGCAAATATACATGAAAATAGACAATTACAAAACTTTATATTTGACTATAGTCTGGAGTAACAGTTGTATGTAAGGTAAACTATAATAATTATTACATCAACAGAATAGGGAGGGGTATTTCTGATCAAGATGTTTCATTAATTAATTTAAAATCACATATTAAGAACATGTTTGATCATGTGAGTGTTGCATTCTATAAAAATGGTGCTTCTTTCAAGTGAATAATCAAATAAATAATAATATATTCACTTTTTTGAATTTTTGATGTAAATCATAAATTTAAACATTTTCCTTAATGTTTAACTGTAATTAACATAGGAAACACCTTTTATATATTTCATAGATAGACAATTTTTTTATCATAGCTTATGAACAAAAACTTTTAGATACTTATAATACTGGTTCGAGTAACTTAATAAATTTAAATAGGCTCCAAATCTGAGCACCTTCCATGCCTACAGATAATAAAGTTTACAACACGAAACAATTATGAATCTAACTTATTCAAACTTCTATTGATATCATTTAATAGTAAGTAGAAGTGAAAGCATTACAAGCTTCAAAGCAACTTAAAAATAGAAACAAGCAAGTTTATATTTAAAATCTGCTATATGGCAAACTCAGGTCTTACGTAAAATATACAGTGGGTAATGATTAATTCAAAAACAAATTATTAAAAAACATTATGTACAATCAAGATCTTTACAGCAACATGTCAAATGTACTAGTAAAAAATAACATTGACAAATACAGAATATAGTATAATACATGCTATATTAAGTCACGTGTTTTGATGATTTCCCCATTTACTAGAAGTAAACAATTTAGTACTATTTTTTTTGTCTTGGGTACTCATATCAGAATAGAGGTGATTTCAAAAAATATTAAAAATGTAAAATATAGTCACATTCTTGCCACCCTTACGTTATGTACTTCTATATATATATATTAATAATTAAAAACACACTTAATACACTAGTCAAGTTTTTACCCTCATAATGTTATCTATATCCTTGTAGTAAATAATTCAAATAAAAACATACAGTAAAGTTCTTGCCATTTTTATTGTGTACCTCTTTATCAGTCATACAAAATATACATGTTAAATCTTGTCATATTTATATCTTTTGTACTAATCATGTAAAATGGTACTAGAAACCAAACTACAAAGTCAAATAATTCTATCATGTCTTGTAATTACTTCAACATTGAAGTACCACAGTCAAACCATATTCCTGCTATCTTCATACCTAATGTACTTATGTGTCATATCAATGTTAAGCCTTTAAAATAGAACCTACTTATTCAAATTCTTTAATCTTCATGCCATTTATACTTCTGTGTACTATTAGCTGCAATATTGAAATAACATAAGGCTTAAGATCAAACTGCTGTCATGAAGATGCAAAAATGTAACTTGTGTAATATTATTTCAGCACTCAAGTACTATATACATAGTATTAAATGTTTTAAACCACCACAATGAAAATATTTTAATACCTGCTGAAACACCAACTTTCTGAAACTTGCAAAAAATGTCTATCTTACTTAACTGAAGTTACATAGAAGTTGCACATTTCACCTTTTTTCAGTATATATACCAGATCTTTTTGTACCACTGTGACTAGCATCATTAGAAACATTTCCACTGCCAATACTGTTCCTTTCTTGAGGACCATTTGTAGCAATATCGGTTGAAACTGGCTGCTTGGGCTGAAACTCTGTTATAATAACAGTTACATTGTTCACAGTGACGGCTTTCTGTTGAGCACTACTCCTATCTATGTTCTTCAAACGTGGTCTGTAAGCATAACAAAATATATATGACATAAAATTTTAAAATACAAAATAAATGAAAAACTTGGATAGGTTAAACATCATAGTTAAATCATAATATATGTATTAACAGTTAGTACAATAAAGGTATACTTTATTAGAACTCCACACACATTTATAGAACACTATTTTCTTATGCAAAAAATAACTAAGCATGTTATATCAAGTGATGATTAATCCATATAAGTGCAGAGATGTAGTCATATCATGTTTGGTCTGCAAAATAAAGGTTAAGAGCAAGGATCTCTCTCCATCTACTGTAACAGGACAACCATCTTTATCATAGACCATTATTCTGTTATCAACCTATAAACATTGGCAACTAACTGACAATATGTCTGCCACTGCCGAAAAGAAAACATTTAGCTTTCCAATGCTGGTGCTTAACCAAAAGAAAAGATGATTGGGCAACCTTACAAGTTTCAACAGATTTCTGATTATGTCCAAGTTGGCTGACTCCTTTAATGGTAAAATGTCAATTATCCCCTTCTGTACCATCTGAGGGAGATTACAAAAATTCTCATATGGAAGTCCAAAAACCACCTTTTTCAAATGCAACTAAGAAAGCTTGATTTATCTATGATATAAATTCCAACTGTTGACACCAAATGATTAGAAGCATATAATGCAGTCTTAGGAGTAATTTTTCTTTCTTTTTCTGACAAACACTACAGTAAAAATATGAAGTAAACCACAAAAACACTTAATCCTGCTTTTGTTGTTCTGATAATACAAGCTGTTGGATGTGGTATAATGGCATGGAGTTGTTTCTTTGGATTTCTCTAGGATTGTGAATCATCCAGAGTGGACCGGAATGTTGTTGCTAATCATGCACATTTCCACACTGGTAGACAAGGGCTCTCCCATGACGATAACGGAACAATCTACCACACTCGCAACATTACTTCAAAAAGCATAATTGCAACTTCAGTCACCATCCGTAGACTACACAATCACTAAATCTTAAATAAGTTGAGCATCTTTTGGATAAACTTGAAAATCATAGTTGCCACCATAATCTTGTCAAAAATCTGTTAAGCAGTTACAAATCATGCTCCTTGACAAATGGGCTACAACCATAAATTAAAAAACCTTCTATCATCTTGTGGAGTCTATGTTACACTACATCCCAGTTTTTAATGCAATAAAAGATAGTTTCATGAAATACTAGGAAGAGGCTATTATTAGAATGACTAAACAATAAGAGCTAGATCAACAAACCAGGACTATTTACTAAGTAATCTGAATATTTTAAGTACATAAAATAAAACAATTAACTATCTAATATTATACAGTGTTTTAGGTTAAGGTTAAATCAACTAATAAAGTTTGGCTACAAGTTCCTAAAATAAATCAACAACAAAACTCTACCAAGAAATGTTTTGAATGATTTAGTTTTTGACCTAATCAACTAATCATGTAATGGCCAGGTCTATCTAAATATGTTTAATTTTATGAAATACACGAACTATGTCTGCCTTTAAATGTATTCCAAAATATTTAAAATACCTTAGGTTTATAATCAACCATGCAACAGAAATTGAAAAGGGTGTCACCAGTTCATGACATCAGTTAATGTTTGGGGATACTTTAGGTATTGTACACATGTATAGGAATTGTTGTCCCATATATGCTTATTAGTATTCTGAGTGTTACAGATTCATAAATTATGCAAATTACACAAATCTGTCTGTGAATATTTTGGGACATAACTAAATGTAATGAATGTAAAGGCCACAATCCTAATGCTTGTTTGCTAGACCTGCACTTGCATGTATGTAACAATTCTAAAAATATGATATATGAAAAAAATCAGTCATTTATGTCAAGATCTATCTTTACCAAATACCTAGAGATGACTTAATAGGTCATGTTTGAGTCACCTTGCTCTCTTTTTGGGCTGACTCTCTGGTGAGGCAGTGGCTTCTGTGACCTTCCTGTCAACTTTTGTGGTGTCTTTCTGTTTAGGCTGAGCTTGAGTAAACTGCTGGGCCACCTGCTGTGAGTTAAAGCTTGGCTTCCTATATGAAGAGCAGTGTATTATTTTTATAGCTTTTATATGTACTAATAAACCAACAAACACACACACACATAAATATATATATATAGGGATGTGAAATATTTTAAAACTTCTTGTCCAATGACAAAATGCTAGAAAAATCTTGTCCCCATGCCCTCCCACAAATTGCACACAAAAAAACAGAATATAACTCTTAGAATTCTGCTTATATCTAAGAGTGAACAAAATCAATGCAATACCATTTACAGCTCATTTTGTCAGGAATGGGTTATACAGAATCTTGCACCTAAGCTCTTCACATACACTGTCTCATGCAGTTAACAATTTTAAGCATTCAGTCATTAGGATTTTACAGTGCAGCATGTACAACACCCTACACATGAACTGGTTAAAGAAATCGCATTTTTATATTAATGCTGCCACAAATTAAAATGGTACTTATCTATATAACAACATTCAATGTCTGTGTGTCCCATGCAACTCCTCCTAATCAGCTGGTCACAACAACTTCTAAACAGTACCAAATCAATTGTCTCAGACCCAAGGTTTGCACAAAGATAAAAATTTTCACCATCCCTTAGAGAACCTGGGTATTTAACAAAAACACTTTTATGGGAATTCCCAAAAAGCAGACCCCAAAATGTGACACTAATTTACATTAAAGCACATTAATACGTAGGCCTACTAATTACTGTTGGTTAAAGAAATTAAATTTGTAATATAGCAGCAATGGTCATTAAACTGAAAAAGTGCAAAATATTACTTCAATCATTAAATTTGCATTATTGTGGCCTTATAAATGTGGGTCATAGGCCCATGGGTTTGCCAGTATAATATATATAAAACAAAGTAAATATTTTTTATCTTCTTCCTACAGCTGGCAGTCAAACTTTAATGAGTTTCTACTGTGACAAAAGCAATATAATATTATCATTCCATTAATTTAAACATGTTTGTTACTATGTGTGTGAATAAGGAATTGTTAATTAAAATATTATGTATATTTGTGTATACATTTTTGGTTCAGAGATACACATTTTTAAATGTTTTTGTGTGTGTGCTAGACTTCCATAATTCAGATCAAGTACTTTAACAGCTCCCTAGAAATATACCCAGCATAGCGAATCAGGGAAATGGATACAAAGGGTGCAACTGCACCCTCCCAATCATAAGGCCCATATCCTGATTCCAAGAGATTCCAAAATTCAAGAAAAACTAAGAGAATTAATTTTTGTCTTGGAGCAAGTGTAACACCATGTGAAAATTTTTAACTTTTTGATCGATCCCTTTCCTTGCTATATGGTGCATTTGGGAACATTATTTTAATACATAACAGTATACTTCCAAAACTTGTCCCACAAATATGTTTGTGGTATATAAAATTGTACCTACATTCAAATTTATAGAAAATTGGATTATATAGCTATATAGTGAAATCATGACAGTGAAGAACTAATACAGAAATTTAATAAATAATTGCTGTTTATCATCGTCCAGTCTAGAAAGATCTCTAAAATGTACCAGCAATATACTTATCCAATAGTCATTTTGCCTTAAATTGGCCTCAAAATATTAATGGAGTTGATTGGAATCACAAGAGAGGAATCTGTAGTGAAAACTGTAGTTAAAAAATTCTATTCTAGTTCCAATTTTTAATGAATGGGAGAAAAGTCTTTCTTACTATGAAAGCAGGAGGTGAGGACAAAATGCAGGTGCTACCTGCTGCACAAGTAGGTAAGAGCTAAATGTGGGTGACACCTGCTGAATGCAGGTGTCTTGGCATGTCTTGATTTCTTAAATTAAAATTTAATATTCTCGATTTCTGTGCCTTTTGAGTAATTTTGTTTTGATTTTTTTTGTTTATCTGTTTGCCAAAATCCATATTTTTATTCTTTTCTTTTTCTTCTTTAATTTTCCACATCTCTTAAACCTTAATTTTCATGTCCGTGCCTAGCCTTGCTGGCAGATGACAGTGTGAAAAGGTATGAAAGTAGATATATATTTAATAACACAACTGTAGTGATTAAAGTGAGATTGATGGTTTACATATAACTGATGATGACTGCTAATCACTGGAAAAAAAACAGAAGCGGCACAGTAGTCATAATACAGTGTGAAATGCTCCTTCAGATATTACTACTGATTTACTAATATTCTTACTGCTGACTATATCTGTAGGAAAGTTCTTCATGCTAAGTTTCAGAATGTAAAATTGTTTTGTTCATATTGTTCATAGTACTGACTGTTGGCATTAACATAAAAAATAATAGTTGAAGTAACAGAAATGTAAGGAATAGGTAGTATCTTTTACTAGCTATTTTACATGATTAGATTCTTGTACATCCATGACAAAGAGAAAAAAATTTGTTTTGTAAGAATAATAAACATAAACAAATAAGCAGACAATTCATTTTTTTTTTAAACTTTCAACTTTTCTGTTATAATGATACATCATATACCTCTGTTGCTCTCTCTTTTAACTGCAATGGTCCTTAAATTATCAACCCTTAAAGATTTTGATATGGCTTAAAATCTCTGCATGTGCTTGGTTGTGCACTAATAAAACAGCAGTGTCTGTGTAACTAAAACTCTTATAATCTGGGCATGTAAGATGATTTGTCATCTTATAACTATGTGTATTCCACTATTTTTCACCAATGTTTGAAGCTTCGTTTATAGTTCAGGAAGTATTCAATTTTGTGCAAGGATAAATAGTTCTTTGTTATTTTTTATCTCTCTAAATTTTAAAAACCCATGAATATAAAACCATATGCACCCTCCAAAGAAATTCTAGCAAAAGAACAACAATAAATAATGAACTAATTGTCCAATAAACAAAGAATAATATTAAAATTTGTCCGTCAGACAAATCTTATTGTCTTGGGAATCAGGCAATATGAATTCCACACCCCTCCACATACATATATAGCATTTATTCAATTAAACATTTAAAATATATACAAGATTAAAGAACTGTCTCAAGGCAACAGATCTGATTGTAATCTTGTTTTCTGTTTTATTGACAGTCTAAATTAAATTGTGTTATTATACAGATGTTGATTCTCACCTATAAGCATTGATCCTTAGAAGAAAATAACTATTCTAATCAAGGAAACACATTCCTTTTTTCTGATTTTCTTTTCACATAAAAACTTGATGCAATAAAATGAAAAAGACTGATTACATGAAATTTGATACATCTTGATACAGTTAGAAATAGAGAAAATTGAAAGGCTCATCTATACAAACAAAAGTATCATATGAACAATTAAATGTAATATTGCTCTTTGCAATCAAAACTCGATTCTACAGTGTACTATTAAGAAACACAAAACTTTATATTTATGAAATTGAAAAACATACAATGCTAGGAAGAAACATTTTCAAACACACTAGTTAATATTAAAGAAACAGGGTTTGTAATATTGGGTTCAGAGCCATGAAATACTTTAACTTGGAAAGATCATCTCAGTTCTGTAAAAATAACACAAATACTTGGCTACATGGCATAATGTCTTTAAACACAAACGTTTTAACATCTGATGACCATATGCAAACAGCCATGTTGTGCTAATAACCTATGCACATAACGTTAACCATTTATTATAAGTATCTAGGTTAACAATTTACCATTTATAAGGTTCTGTGTATTCAATCAGACTCATACAAAACATTAAACATTTAAAAGTTATCAGTAATTATTAGTAACTCTAAATAATGAATTATCTGTACAAGAACTAATTTGTTTACTTTGCATTAACCAAACAAAGAATCAATATATCAAGACCTGGATATCATTCAAATAATACTACACTATATATGTATTTTGAGTCCATGTAATAATTTGATTCAAAATATTACTTTTAACAAATACATACCTTTTACTTCATTACATCACCTAAACTCAATTCTATAACTACCACAGAACTCATTAAATTTTATTTCATGTATCTTCAATTTCTAACACTATCACAAGTGGAATAAGAATCACTTTGACACCCATCAATTTCAGTATGAATGACATGACATTACTAAGTTATATTAAAATAATGAATTTATTATTGTAAACTTAAATTTAATTAAGATACAGTTTTATGTTTCAAAGTATACAAAACTGAAACATAAACAATATAATTAACAATACATCTATTCAATTATAATTAAACTTAGGCTGATTATGACATACTACACGTACTTTGTGATCTTCTGAAATTCCTTATTAAAATATTTTTTATTGAATCATACATAATGTGATGTTATTAAAATGCCACAGTAATATTATCCATATTTTAGAACTTTTGTGAATGAGAAGTCTTACATCATAATTGTCTTCCAAACAATTTATGAGGTTTTGAAAGAGCTAGTTAACAAGATCATCCATAAGGAGGTTCTTAAAACACAAGCTAGTAAACAGGTTAGAATTTTGAAATTTTATTGATGTCAGCTATAGAAATTAATGTATTTTTTTATCATCTGTGCCAAATGTTGGGAGTGTGACAGAGAAGATTAGTATCTCGAGAGGTAAGATTTTCTGAATTCCATATGAATCTAAAAATGTATTGTGAAAGTATCCCTCAATGACAATAAGCTATAATCATTGTGGTGAAAAATGAGAAAGAAAGACTAAAATCAAGCAGAAAGCAACACACATATCTAGCACAGGGAAGTACATGGCATACAAAGATTTCTGGTAATGAATCTCTGAAGGGATCCTTACTAGGACATGGGTAATTTTATTAGATTGTCACTAATGTAATGTAAGATATTGTTACATATCTGCTTGTTAGTTAATTTCCGGTATAAATTATTTCCGAGGAACTTCAGCGATTCAAGTCCTTTCTTAATTAAACCAGTTTATTTTTCCTTGATACAACTTTATAATACACAGAATTTCCAATCAGTACGTTAAACTTAACTGCTTTTAGAACACATACTATAAATCACACTGATTCACACACTACTTATGGTGCCTACTGTTCGCTTGACTCAATTATCTATCTC